CTTCTGTGATCTTATGACAACCAAGTTATCAAGTACCCAAGAAACTTGCTGTAGGATTCTCAGGGGGATGGAGGAGGAGACAGAGGCTCTTGTCACAAGCAAGCTCAGTGTTTTGCCAGGGAAAGGACGGATGGTGTTTTTACTGTGACACAGTCAGAGCCTGGATTCAAAGGTACAGCTGTGGCTATTGGAACCAAATTCATATGCACCACTCAGACTTGAATTTGCTGGGTCATTTACTCTGAAGTTGATTTGATACATCTTCTTCAATATATATCATCACCTATAATTTTGTTATTTGAAATGAAGCTATGGTCAAACACAGAGAGCAACCAAAAATTCATCTGGATGATCTTGCATAAATAATACTGAAGGGATATTGAAAAAGGAGCACCAGAAGCTAGTCTATATTATCTTTATTATTAAATATAATGGATATAAGTCTTTAGATCTTCAAAACAACAGTAAATGTGGTATTTTTCTTTTGTTTTATACTTGGACATGAGGTGACTAGGACTCTAATTTCTAATAAACATTTCCAAACCTTAATCCTGCAACTTCAATATTTATCTCCCCCCCCGAAGAGCTTGTACCGCCACCCTGTGTACACTTGTGAAGATGATGTTTGCTTAGTCTTAACTAGTTATAACAATATAAAACTTTAATTGTTGTTATGTTTATGGTGCTACATAGTATATATTTCTAGTCCTACTATGCTATTGACTCATTCCTTATAAGAATCTCGTGAAGCAACATTTTAATTTAATAGTATAGAAAATAAAAGCCATATCAATGGCCTGAAAGCCCTCCAGTTTTAAGCCATGAATCTTGGCCCTATTCCTCCACACCTCCTTTAATGCTGCCTACAGTGCATTGCATTGCCTCGTGCATTTTAATCCCAAGCCTATTTAAATCAGCCCCTCCCTCTCTCATTTTTTTTTTTTTTTTGAGACAGTTTCTCTGTAGTGCTAGCTGTCCTGGAAGTTGCTCTGTTTAGCCTGGCTGGCCTCAAACTCACAGATCTGCCTGCCTTTGCCTCCTGAGTGCTGGCACTAAAGGCCTGTGCCACCACACCTAGCAATGAATGAATTTTTAAAGTATACAACTTGGAAGCTAGTATATTTTGATATCAGATTCTACATATCAGTTTTTCCTCTAAGAAAAAATATTTTACTTATTTTTTTATTCATTCATTCATCCATTTTATATCCCTACTGAAACCCCCTCCCTCCTTTCCTCCCAGTCCCACTCTCCCACCTTCTTCCCCATCTACCCCTTTCCTTCTCTGAAAAAGAGAGCTCCTTCCTTCCCACTTCCCATACCAACTTCATATCAACACATCAAGACATATCCGGACTAAGCACATCTTCCACTGAGCCCAGACAAGGCAGCCCAGCTGAAAGCGGAAAGTGATCCAAAAGCGGGCAATGGAGTCCATGTCAGAGATATTCCTTGCTCCAATTGCTAGAGGACCCATGAGAAGACCATGCCATCCATCAGCTACACATGTGTAGTGGGCTTAGGGTCAGTCCATGCATGCTCTTTGGTTGGTGGTTCAGTCTCAGTGAGCTCCTGTGAGCCCAGGTTAGTTGATTCTGTAAGTTTTCCTGTCCCCTCTGGGTACCTCTATCCTTCCCCCAACTCTTCCACATGATTCTTTGAGCTCCACTTAATGTTTGCCAGTGAATCTCAGCTTCTGTTTCAATCCATGGCTGTGTAGAGCCTCTCAAAGGACAGTTATGCTAGACTCATGTCATGTGTGTCTTTCTGGGTCTGTGTTACCTCATTCGGGATGATACTTTCTGGCTTCATCCATTTGCCTACAAATTTCATGATTTCCTTATTTTTAATAACTTAGTAGCATTTCCATTGTGTAAATGTACCACATTTTCTTTATCCATTCTTCAGTTGAATGCAGCCTGGTAATCATGTGGATCCCCAATCAATGGGAGTAGGGCCTGCATCTGACTCTATTGCCTGCATTTGGGCCCCTTTTCCCTAGCTGAGCTGCCTTGTCTATCCTCAGTGGGAGAGGATGTGTTTAGCCCTGCTGTGACTTGGAGTGCCAGGATGGGTTGGTACCCATTGGGGCCTCCCCTTCTCTGAGAAAAGGGCAAGGGTGGAAGGTGTGTGAGCATGGGACTGGGAGGAGAGGAGGGAGGGGGCTTCGATCAGGCTGCAAAGTGATGAAAAAAGAAAGAAAGGAAGAAAGAAAGAAAGAAAGAAAGAAAGAGAAAGAAAGAAAGAAAGAAAGAAAGAAAGAAAGAAAGAAAGAAAGAAATTAAAAGGGAAAAAGAGAAAAAGTTAAGACAAAATTTACTGTCTCTTTTTCAGCCTCACAAAGTAGTGCTTCTACTTTAGGTCAAACAATAGAAAAGATCTCAGTGTAAATGTTGACATTAGGTAGCATCATTCTAAATAGGATTTAATGTCATTAAAATATTTCCTTTGGAGAAATCCCACATTAGGCTATTTACCCTCACTTCAATGCATAGACTGTCTTTTATACAACAGATTTAACTCTTTTCCCATATAATGCCTACAGAATAAAGCAGCCCCAGTGTACCACCCTCAAAAGCTGCTTTTTATGCCACGGAGCCACCTAGCTTAAAAAGGATTTTGGTAGAGGCACCATTTATTTCTTTCTACATAATTTTAACAGTTTTTACTGTTAATGTTCTTTTATTTTGATCTCAATGACATACTTTATTTGAAGGTCAACAAATAACATTATTTTAAACCTATTTTGTTTTTTATAATTGTTTTTCCATGCCTTTTTATATTAAAATATTTTCTATGTACTACATAATAGAAAGGTAACAATAAAGCCAAATTGAAAAGTCTTGAAGGAAGATGAGAAACTGGAGCTGTCCTCTTTCCTGACACTAGCATAATTTATAGTTACTTAAATTTCTGAATATTGATTTATTAGCAGCAGTTTATCTGATTCCTAATATAAGTGAAGAAGCTGAACAAACTGCTGTTGACCAACATTCACAGAGAAGTGTATGAGTTTAGAAAATTCAACATAGCATTTTTATTTGTTTGGATTACCTTTTACCTTTTATTGTTTGAAAGTCTAAAAATTCTTGAGATGTTCTCTGTTCTATATCTTAAATGCCATAATTTTCTGAATATTAAAGTACATTTACAAATTGTTTTATCACTGAACTTTCTGCAATATCCAAAGTTGATGCTCTTTGACTTCTCTCTATGGTTTCTGCAAAGAGAAGTGGCTACACACATGCATGGAGACAGCATACATAGGTGCGGCTGTAGAATGCAGGCAGGATAAATACTGCATCCCTGGGAAAAATGCATCAAATCGATTAGTTGACAAATTCCCTGAGATGTTGTCTTCAAAATTTAAAGGGGAGAAAGAGAGAGCATGGCCATGTATGTATGTATATATATATGTATGTATGTATACATATGTTTTAGGTTGGAGAATTTAAAGATCTACAAAAAAAAAGAAAAAGAAAAGAAAAGAAAAAAGAAACAATCAGTGCCTTGTGGGCCTGTGTCAAAATTAGAGCAACAAAATGAACTCAGGAGAAGCTAAGTAACAGATGGGGAACAATGGCTCAGGGACAAGGTCATGAAAGTGAAAGAAAATGTGACAAAATTGGAAGCACATCTGCTTCTTTTGATATGTCAAGCATCCAAGACACATGAATTCCATTGTAATGATTCAGTAATCATGGCCAAGAGCAAATCGGAAGATTGGAAAGATAAAACTCAACTTTGAGATTATTTTCTTTATAGGTCCTGATCGCATGCCAATGCTACTCCATACTTATACGCAAATGTAAACATACCAATCACTGCAGTTACGGAGGCTTAACATTCATAACTTCTCCAGGTAGACAACCAAACAAATAGCTCTTGTTATCCAAAAAAAGGAATTCTTATGAATTTGAAAATCAATTCCACAGAGAGGTTTTTCTATTGAGAGAAAATATCTGTGAAGAATGGGGTTTATTGGTAAATTTTAAAACACAGTCAGTTGTATTATTTCACAAGACATTTCAGTGTTTACTCGGTATGTAAAAAGCATTTGATCTCATCATAGTTTATAAGTACAAGGCCAAGCATAAGGTTAGGAATGAAGATAAAGACGACAGCATTGTAGTCTACTCTTACCTCTCCTTCCTTGATCTCATCACCTTTCTTTGCTTAACCAAATGTGTGAGGTGAAAATTCATACTCCATTTAGCCACATGAAGAAAGGGCATTTTTTTATTCATTGAGACAATCCCCTTATGCATGCTCAGAACAAAAGGAACTTCTGTATTTGTTTCCTTGCTGCTGTGACAAAGTACACTGTAAGATCACCTTAAAGAATGGAGAAGTTACTTTGACTCACAGTTTGAGGGTGTCAGTAATGGAGTAGTAATGAGCTCAGCCCCAGCTGTGGCTGCATCCATAGTCAGGAAGCAGAGAGATGAATGCTAATGTTCTTTTCATTTTCTCTCTTTCTTTTTCATACAGTCTAGAGCCCCATATCATGGTACTACCCACATTCTGGGCACATCTTTTTATATCAATTAACTGTTTCTGCAAATATTCCCCTAGGTGATTTTCAAATCCTATCACGCTGACAAGATTACCAGCACAGAGGGTGTAATTGAAGGCAAAGTATCTAATCCTTATGAGTTTCCATACATCACACTTCATGAATACTCATTTACATTGCCTGTAGAGGAAGTCATTCCTTGTGGGCGTGGTGTGTTTAGTTCACAGTCGATGATTCTGTGAGTCCTGAAGTACTGATTTGAAGGAAATTATTTACTATTTCACCATCAGTTTTGGTCAACTGAAGTGTTCTCTTTCCTACACCAGGCCATTCAAAGGACCCCACAAAATGTGGGTATTAAGTAAAAATTGCCTGTAGTTTCTTTGGCTCATCTGCGGGGGAAGTGAGTAATTTTCAGGAGGGAAAGAAGTGATATGTTATGAAGACTGGAAATTAACCACATTATGCCTTGTTACTCTCCCAGGGTCCCATGATTCCTTCAGCTTCTACATTGATGAAGCCTCTCCAGTAGGCCCTGAGCAGCCAGAAACTGTCCAAAATTTTGTCTCTGTGTTCGGAACTGTAGCCAAGAAGCTGATGCGGAAATGGTTAGCCACTCAAACAATGAGCTTCACTGGTCAGCTGGGAGCTGGAATCCGTTACTTTGACCTTCGAATTTCCACGAAGCCCAGAGACCCAGACAATGAACTGTACTTTGCTCATGGCTTATTCAGTGCCAAAGTCAATGAGGGTCTTGAAGAGATCAATGCATTTCTCACAGATCATCACAAAGAGGTAGTATTCTTGGACTTCAACCATTTTTATGGAATGCAGAAATACCACCATGAAAAACTGGTCCAAATGCTGAAAGACATCTATGGAAACAAAATGTGCCCAGCCATTTTTGCCCAGGAAGTAAGTCTAAAGTACCTATGGGAGAAGGACTATCAAGTATTGGTCTTCTACCACAGTCCAGTGGCACTGGAAGTGCCCTTTCTTTGGCCTGGGCAGATGATGCCAGCACCTTGGGCAAACACAACAGACCCTGAGAAATTGATCCAGTTTCTTCAGGCATCCATTACTGAGAGAAGAAAGAAGGGCTCGTTTTTTATATCTCAGGTGGTGCTGACACCCAAAGCAAGCACTGTGGTCAAAGGTGTGGCAAGTGGCCTCAGAGAAACAATCACAGAAAGGTAAGTGCCCTTAAGAAAGAAAGGAGATTTGTCCAGTAGTCTAAGTCATGGAGCACAAAAGTGATGGAGCTCAACTCTTACCTATGTGAATTAGTTTGCATAAGTAACATAGTACTACAACTGTACAATGGTATGCCTTAAGATAATTGGTTCCCCAAGGTCCTGCTGATGGCTGACAGTCCTTGCTTTATAGATACATTACCAATTCCACCTTCCTCTCATGGTCTTTTCCCTTTGAGCCTTATTTTTTTAGTTTATTTTCAGTTTATTTACTTTACATCCCAAGGGTCCTCCCTCTCTCTTCTCCTCCCAGTCCCTCCTTTCCTCTCTTTTCCCTCTCCCTTTACTCCCAGAAAAGGAAATCCCCTCCCCCTGCATTCACCCTCTCCAACAAATCAAGGCACATCATAATTGAGCATATCCTCATCTCCTGAGGCCAGGCAAGGCAGCCCTGCCAGGGAAAAGTGATCCAAAAGCAGACTATAGAGTCCATGTTAGAAACATGGACCCCTGCACTCGGCAGGTGCCCCACATGAAGAGCAAGCACAGCATTGGCGACATATGTGCAGGGGGCCTAGGTCCAGACCATGCTTGCTCCTTGGTTGATATATCAGTCTCTGGAAGTCCCCATGGATCTGGTTTAGATGTTTCTGTTGCTCTTCTTGTGAGGTTCCTGTCCCCTCTATGTCCTTCCATCTTTCCTTCAGCACTTCCTCAGGACCCCCAAAGCACCATAACATGCTTAGATACAAGTCCTAGTATCTATCCTTATCCTCTGCTTGCTGGACCCTCCCAGATGACAGTCAAGTTAGGCTCTTGTCTGCAAACACAGCAGAACCTCATTAATAGTGTTAGGGATTGGCTCTCTACAGTGGGGTGGATTTCAGGTTGGGCCAACTATTGGTTGGCCTTCCCTCAATCTTTGTTCCCTCTTTAACTTTGTACTTCTTGTAGGCAGGGTAATTTTTGAATGAAAGTTTTTCAGTGGGATGTTGTTCCCCTCCTTCTACTAATCCTGCCTGGCTAGGAGGTGGTCACTTCAGTTTTCATCTCCTCACCTATTAGAAGTCTCAGCTTGAGTCATTCCATATCCTCCCAGGAGCCTACACAGTTTCAGGCCTCCAGCTTGAAAAGGAGATGCCCCCCCACTCAGTTTCCCTTCTTGTTGCCAGCCCTTCCACTTCCAACCCCAGCTCTCCCCACATCTGATCCTCACCATCATTTCCATCCCCATTCTATCTGTTTCCTAGTTACTTCTCTTAATACACTTCCAATGTCTATTCTATTTCCCCTTCTGAGTGACATTCAGCAATCTTATTGGGCCCTCCTTTTTACTTACCTTCTGTGGGCCTGTAGATTATAGTATGGTTATTCAATACTATAAGTCCAATATCCAGTTATAAGTGAATCATACCCTATGCATCTTTCTGGGTCTGGGTTAGTGTAATCTTTTCTAATTCATCCATATGCTTGCAAACTTCATGATTTATTTTTTTAATTTTTTATTTTTTTATATTAATTACAGTTTATTCATTTTGTATCACAGCTGTAGTCCCCTCCTTGTTCTCCTCCCTCCCTCATCTCCTCCTATGCCCCTCTCCAAGTCCACAGATAGGGGAGGTCCTCCTCCCCTTCCATCTGACCCTAGCATATCCAGTCACATCAGAACTGGCTGCATTGTCCTCCTCTGTGGCTTGGCAAGGCTGCTTCCCTATCCAGGGAGGTGGTAAAAAAGCTAGCCACTGAGTTCATGTCAGAGACAGTTCCTGTTCCCCTTACTAGGAAACTCAGTTGGACACTGAGCTGCCATGGGCTACATCTGAGCAGGGGTTCTAGGTTATATCCATGAATGGTCCTTAGTTGGAGGATTAGTCTCAGAAAAGACCTCTGATCCCAGATATTTTGGTTCTGTTGCTATCCTTGTGGAACTCCTGTCCTCTCCAGGTCTTACTATTTCCCCTTTCTTCTCTAAGATTCCCTGAACTCTGCCCAAAGTTTGTTTATGAGTCTCAGTATCTACTTTGATACAATGCTAGTTTGAGTCTTTCAGAGGCCCTCCTTGGTAGGATCCTATCCTGTTTCCTGTTTTCTCCTTCTTCTAATGACTGTCCAATTTACCTTTCTGTGTGAGAATTGACCATCTTACCCAGGGCCCTCCTTCTAGCTCACCTTCTTTAGGTGTACAGATTTTTGTAGGTTTATTCTATATTATATGTCTAGTATCGACTTATAAGTGAGTATACACCATGTGTATCTTTCTGTTTCTGGGATACCTCATTCAGGATGATCTTTTCTAGTTCCCACCATTTGCCTGCAAATTTCATGATTTCCTTGATTTTAATTGCTGAGTATATTCCATTGTGTAATCGTATCACAATTATTCGTTTCTGTATCCGTTTCTCTGCCGAGGGACATTTGAGTTGTTTCCAGGTTCTAGCTGTTACAAATAAAGCTGCTATAAACATGGTTGAACAAATGTCTTTGTTGTATACTTGAGCATATTTTGAATATATGCCTAAGAGTGGTATAACTGGATCTTGAGGAAGCACTATTCCTAATTTTCTGAGAAAGTGCCAGATTGATTTCCAAAGTGGTTGTACAACTTTACATTCCCACTAGCAATGGAGGAGGATTCCCCTTTCTCCACATCCTCTCCAGCTTGTATTGTCACTTGGATTTTTTATCTTAGCCATTCTGATGGGTGCAAGGTGAAATCTCAGGGTTTTGATTTGCATCTCCCTGATGACTAAGGACATTGAGCGTCTCTTTAAATGTTTCCCTGCCATTCTATATTCCTCTACAGAGAATTCTCTGTTTAGCTCTGTACCCCATTTTTAATTGGATTGCTTAATTTGTTGCTTTTTAACTTCTTTATTTCTTTATATATTCTGGATATTAGCCCTCTGTCAGATATGTGGTTGGTGAAGATCCTTTCCCAGTGTGTAGGCTGCACTTTTTTTTTTTTCTGTTGACAGTGTCCTTTGCTTTACAGAAGCTTTTAAGTTTCATGAGGTCACGTTTATTGATTGTTGACCTTAGAGCTTTTGCTGTTGGTGTTCTGTTCAGGAAGTTGTCACCTGTACTAATGAGTTCTAGGCTCTTCCCCATTTTTAATTCTAACCAATTTAGTGTATCTGGTTTTATGTTGAGGTCTTTGATCCACTTGGACTTTAGTTTTGTACAGAGTGATAAATATGGATCTATTTGTATTTTTCTGCATGTAGACATCTAGTTTGACCAGCACCATTTGTTGAAGGTGCTGTCTTTTTTCCATTGTATGGTTTTGGATTCTTTGACAAAAATCAAGCCTCCATAGGTGTGAGGGATTATTTCTGGGTCTTCAATTCAATTCCATTGAACCACCATTCTGTTTCTTTGCCAGTACCATGTAGTTTTTATCACTATTTCTCTGTAGTACAGCTTGCTATCAGGGATGCAGATACCTCCAGATGATCAGTTGTTGTACAGGATCATTTTAGCAATTTAGGTTTTTTGTTTTGCCATATAAAGTTGATTATTTTTCTTTCAAATTTTCTAAAGAATTGTTGGTATTTTGATGGGAATTGCATTGAATCTGTAGATTCCTTTTGGCAGGATGGCCATTTGCATTATTTCAATCCTACTGATCCATGAGCATGGGAGATCTTTCCATCTTCTGATATCTTCTTCAATGTCTTTCTTCAGAGACTTGAAGTTTTTTTTCAAACAGGTCTTTCACTTGCTTGTTTGGAATCACACCAAGGTACTTTGTGTTATTAGTGTTTATTGTGAAGGGTATTGTTTCCCTGATTTCTTTCTCAGCCCTTTTGTCTTTGTTATACAGGAAAGCTACTGATTTTTTTGATTTGTTGTTGAGTTAATTTTGTATCCAGCCACTTTGCTGAAGGTGTTTATCAACTGAAGGAGTTCTCTGGCTGAGTTTTTGGGATCGCTCATATAGACTATCATATCATCTGCAAACAGGGATACTTTCACTTCTTCCTTTCTGATTTGTATCCCCTTGATCTCCTTTAGCTGTCTTATTGCTCTAGCTAGGACTTCACGAACTAAGTTGAGGAGATATGGAGAGAGTAGACAGCCTTGCCTTGTCCCTGATTTCAGTGGGATTGATTTAAGTTTCTCTTCATTTAGTTTGATGTTGGCTATAGGCTTGCTGTATATGGTCTTTACTATGTTTAGGTATATACCTTGTATCCCTGATCTCTCCAAGACTTTACACATGAATGGGTGTTGGATTTTGTCAAATTCTTTTTTCTGTATCTAAGGAAATGATCATGTGGTTTTTCTCCTTCAGTTTTTTATATGATTGATTTCCATATAGTGAACCACCCCTACATACCTGGCATGAAGCCTACTTGGTCATGGTGAATGATATCTTTTATATGTTCTTAGATTCAGTTTGTCAGTATTTTATTGAGTATATTGAGTATTTTTTCATCAATGTTCATAAGAGAGATAGGTCTGAAGTTCTCTTTTTTTTGGTTGGGTCTTTGTGTGGTTTAGGTATCAAGGTGACGGTGGCTTCATAGAATGAGTTTGGTAAATTTCCTTCTGTTTCTCTTTTGTGGAACAATTTGAAGAGAATTTGAGTTAGTGCTGCTTTGAAGGTCTGGTAGAATTCTGCCCTGTAATCATCTGACCCTGGGTTGTTTTGTTTTGTTTTGTTTTGGAAGAGAGAATGTTGATGAGTGCTTCTATTTCTTCGAGGGCATATAGGACTATTCTATCGTTCTACCTGATCTTGATTTAATTTTCGTAGATGGAATCTATCAAAAAAATTGTCCATTTCCTTAAGATTTTTCAAATTTTTGTGGCAAATAGGCTTTTGTAGTATGACCTAATGATTGTTTGGATTTCCTCAGTGTCTGTTATTATGTCCCCCTTTTCGTTTCTGATTTTGCTGATTTGTATAGTTTCTGTCTGCCTTTCAGTTAGTTTGGCTAAGGGTTTGTCTATTTTGTTGATTTTCTCAAAGAACCAGCTCTTGGTTTCATTGATTC